GGCCCGGAACTCGAACTATGGTCGGCCATGTGGAAGTCCAGCGCCCCTAAACACAACACCACCTGCCGACCCTGAGGACTTTTATTTCCTTTTGAAAACAACTTTACTGAAATATTATTTGCATACCATAAAATTCGCCTATTCTGAGTGTCCAAGTCAATGAATTCAGTCTATTTGTACAGAATTGTACAATCATCCCCATCACCAAAATATAATTTGAGACCATGTCTCTCGCCCTAAGAAGAAACCTGTGCCCATTTTTGGACACTCCGCATTTCCATTCTCAGCAGTGGGCAACCTCTGATCTCCTTTCTGTCTCTGAAGAAGAAGAGGTCTTCAGAAAGGCCACGGAAGCCCCGAGGCAGTAGCAAAGGTGACAGTATACTGAACTGCAGTGCTGGAAGCCTCGTGGCCAACTATGGGTTCAGATCCCCCCCAACCTGAAAACAGGCCAGGCATGTGCCTGCCCAAGGTCCGTGGAACTAGAAGGTGTTGCTGACTGGCATGAGGGCCCCCCTCGCCCCTTGCATGCACACACTGTCTCACAAAGAAAATAAATAAAATTAAAAAAAAAAATGAGACCTCTGAGAAGTCTCTTCCTTTAAAGTAAGTTCATGGAAAATGCATATGAGGGAGAAAATTATGCATAGATTTCAAAAATAGTTTGTACTAAAATAAACTTGTACTTTAATTCCATTTTCCCATGAACTTCTTTGAATTATTTATTTAATTTTATTTATCATTATTATTATTCCTAAATTCTGCTGCAGGGCATGTGTGCTCATATGAGAGAGAGAGAGAGAAAGAGAGAGAGAGAGAGTGAGAAAGCAAGTCAGCAGGTCTAAGACTCTAACTGTGGTCAGCCATGTGGGTGAGAGGGAATAGAATTGTTGAGCCATGTAGGAGTCCAGCACCCCAATCACCACACCACCTGCTGGCCACCCCGGAACTTTTTCTTTTTTTTTTTTTGGAGAGGTTTTTGCTATAGGACGCGTGCGTTCTCCAGAAAGACAGAGAGAGACTGAGAGACAGAAAGTGAGATATCACCCCCCGAGGGAATGGCCATGCCACAATCCCTTTTCCTCCATTCTCTTCTTGGGATCTTGAGCACGCACGCAGACATGCCCGGTGTGAGTTTAAGTCACCAGGACCGGGACTCAAACCGTAGCTGATTACATGGGAGTCCAGCGACATAGCCATTACGCCAACTGCTGGTGCCCCCCCCCCCAGGAACTTTCTTTGAAGTACCCTTGTAAATTTGCCTTTTCTAAACGTGTCATATGAATTGGATCATATACTCAGTGGTCTTATGTGTCTGACTTTTTTTCACTGAATATAATATGTTTAAGATTTATCCGTGTTGGGGAACCAGCAGTTAGCGTAATGGCTATGTCGCTGGACTCCCACATAGTTGACCACGGTTCGTGTCCCAGACCCGGTGGCTTAAAACTCACGCTGAGCACGTGTGCGTGCGTGCCCAAGATCCCGAGAGGAGAATGGAGGAGAAGGGATTGCGGCGTGACCATCTCCCCTGGGGGGTGATTTCTCGCTTTCTGTCTCTCTGTCTCTCTCTGTCTGTCTGGCGAGTGCACGTACCCTATAGCGAAAATCTCTCCAAAAAAAAAAAAGAAAAGAAAAAAAAAGATTTATCTGTGTTGTACAAAGTATTTTGCTCCTTTTTATTAAGAATATTCTACTGTATGTGTTGTGGGATGGGTTCTACGATAATATCCGGGTTCTTTCATCAAGAAAGGTTCTTGATGTTTTGGACAAAGAATTGATTGAAACGTGCCATTAGCAAAAGGGAAAGGTGGTTTATTAAGTAAAAGCAGAAATATACTCTTGAGAGGTAGGAGCGGGCCTGAGCGGTCAGAGGAAGAGTAGCTCAAAGGCCCAGCAGTTACGTTCTGCGAGGTTTATAATTTTTTAAAGGAATATTTATTTAATTTTATTTATTTTCACTTTTAAAATTTGACCAGATAGAGACAGAGAGAGAGAGAGGAAAAGTGAGAAAGCAAGTCACCAGGTCCAGGACTTGAACTGCCCTCTGCCATGTGGGAGTCCAGCGTTTTAACCACCATACCACCTGTCAGTCCCAGGTTTATAACTTTTTAACTTAGGTTGTGTCAGGTGATCATTGGTTGGGCCCATTGATTGTTCTCATCTCATTGGCTCTATCTAATGTAGCTATGCCCACTGATTCCTCTCATTGGCTATATCAGACGTGGCTTAATCAGCTAGACACCCCCCATATGGAAATCTCCTGCCTGTATTACCTTGGGTGAGGAATTTTCTGCCCTGTCTAGCCGCACAGGCAATGCTCCGGCCCCCTCCCCACCTCCATTTGCTTGCTTTCTCCTGCCTCATATGGATACACCATATTTTGTTTATCCAGCAGTTAGGGGATGTTTGCATTGTTTTTACTTTTCGTCTATGGTGAACAATACTGCTATGGACATTCATGTACACATTTTGTGTGGCTGTATGTTTTCATTTCTTTTGAGTAGATACTTCGGAGCAAAATTACTGGGTTATACAGTGAGTATATATTTAACCTTTTTTTTTTTTTTTTAAGAGGTTTTTGCTACAGGGTACGTGCACTCGCCAGAAAGACAGAGAGACAGAGAGATAGAAAGTGAGAAATCACCCCCGCAGGGGATATGGCCACACTGCAATTCCATCTCCTCCATTCTCCTCTTAGGATCTTAGGCACACGTGCCCGGTGTGAGTTTAGGCCACCAGGCCTGGGGCTTGAACCGTGGTTAACTACATGGGAGTTCAGTGGCATAGCCATTATGCTAACTGCTGGTCCCTATATTTAACCTTTTCAGAAACTTCCAGGCCAGCCTGTTGGCCTGATGGCTAAGGCAGTTGGATCCCACGTAGTCAACTACATTGTTCAAGTCCCAGACTCAGTGGCTTGAAAACTTCCCAGGCACGTGTGCGTGCTCAAAGTCCCGACAGAGGAGAAGGGATCGTGCTGTGTCCATTCCCCATGGAGGATACTTTCCTGCTGCCTCTCTCCCTCTCTTTGTTAAGAACACACACCTTCTGGAGCATTACAAATGGAAGGAAGGGGACCAGCAGTTGGCATGGTAATTAAGGCACTGGATTCCCACATGACTAACTTCATAGTTCAAGTCTTGGACTTGGGATTTGAAAACTACAACAAATGAAAATAAATAAATAACTGTTTTTTAAAAATGGAAGGAAGGAAGGATGGGTGGAAGGAAACATAAAAGAAACTGCCAAACTGTTTTCCAAAGTGACTGCTCTACTTTACATTTCCACCAGCAAAATTTAAGGGGTTCCAGTTTCTCCTCATTCTCGCCCGTACACGTCATTGTCTTTCGATTATAGCCATTCTAATGGAGTGATCTCTCTTGTGATTTTTAATTTTCTTTAATGACATCGATATCTTTAAATGTACTTATTAACTATTCATGTATGTGCTTTGGTGAAATATCAATTCAAATATTTTGCATATATTTTTTTGTTTTTTTTTAGAGTTTTACCATAGGGCATGTGTACTCCCTGAAGCAAGAGACAGAGACAGAGATAGAGAGAAGGAAAATGAAAAATCACTCCACAGTGGGGACGGCCATGCTGCAATCCCTTCTTCTCCATTCTCCTCTCAGGATTTTGGGCATGCCCACACACACTACTGGCATGATTTTCAAGCCACTGTATCTGGAACTCAAACAGTGGTTGGCCATGTGGGAGTCCAGCACCTTAACCACTATACCACCTGCTGGCCCCATATTTTAGATTTTTAAACTTTTTTTTAACAGAAGTTTTTGCTGTAGGATGTGTGTACTCGCCAGAGAAACAAAAAGTGAGAAATCACCCCCAAGGGGCGATGACCACATCACAATCCCTTTTCTTCCATTCTTCTTTTGGGATTTTGGGCACAAACGCATATGTGCCGGGTGTGAGTTTCAAGCCTCTAGATCTGGGACTTGAAAGGTGTGAGTTTCAAGCTTCTAGATCTGGGACTTGAACTGTGGTCAGCTATGTGGGAGTCCAGCAACGTAACCATTGCACCATCTGCTGGTCCCAATATTTCAGATTAAAAAAAAAATTGTTTAGGACACGTGCACTCACCAGAGGGAGAGAGAAAGAGAGATTTTGTTTAGGACACATGCACTCACCAGAGGGAGAGAGAAAGAGAGAGTGAGAAATGAACCCCCAGAGGGGTTGGCCATGATGCAATCCCTTCTCCTTCATTCTCCTCTTGGGATTTTAGGCACGCACACATTCCTGGCGTGTTTTTCAGGCTGCCAGGTCCGGGACTCAAACTGCATAGTTGGCCATGTGGGATCCAGCCTCCTTAATCACCATGCCACCAGCTGACCCCGTTATTTAGTGTTTATTTATTTATTTAATTGCCAGAGGGTGTGTGTGTGTTCACCAGAGAGAAAAAAAAAATAAAAAGGACAGAAAAGAGAACGAGGGAGGGAGGAAGGAAGCACCCCAACAGGACGTAGCCATGCCACCATCCCTTCTCCGCCCCTCCACCCTGTGGGACTCTGGGGCGCCCATACACATGCACTGCTGGCGTGCTTTTCAACCCGCTGGGGCCAGGATGCCAACTGTGGCCAACCGTGCTGGATCTGGCTCCATTCATCACCAGGTTGTGGGCCAGCCTTGGCCATTTTAAAAAACGGGATCGTTGCTCTTATTATTACGCCGTAGGCGTTCTTGACCTGTTAGGGCTCTTCAGTTACTTGATTTATGCTGGTTTCCTTCCAGTCCGTGGCATTATCTTTTCATTTTAAAAATGGTATCTCTTGAAAGATGTTTGAGGAGGACAAGGACAAGACAGGGCCGTGCTTCAGGGAGGAGCGGCAGCAGTATGTGGGCTGGGGAAGGGACAGAGTGCCCTTTGTCAGCTGCGACAGGAGCAGGCACACACCAAGTTCTTCCACTTCTCTGGGAACCCCAGGGTTGTAAGAGCCCTCCGGAGCGCCTGTTTACAGTCCGGTTAATCAGTAAACCCGAGCCAGGGAAACCACCAATCTGTGCAAGTGCAAAACCCTTTCAAAAGGAATTTTCCTGGATTCGCAGAGGAAGAGAACAGAGGGCCAAGAGACCCGTGGCTGTCGTGGAGCGCCAGAAACCATTTGCAGCCCTGAATGGGGCGGCTCGGGACGTCCTTCCAGGAGCTGTCCCACGGGTGCGGGCTGCGGGGACACTCGGAGGGCTGGTTCTCGGCCCTCGGACTCTAACTGGTGAAGACGCCCCGTGGTTTGGACACGGGGGGGGCACGTTTCCGTGGTTTGCTTGGAGAAAACCCCAGCAAGATGTCAGATTTGCTCTCCGTCTTGCTGCACCTCGTGCTCGTCCTGAAACTGGCGGCTCCGGTGACCTTCCGCCACCACCGCTACGACGAGCTGGTGCGGCTGCTGTACAAGGTGCACAACGAATGCCCCCACATCACGCGCGTCTACAGCGTCGGGCGCAGCGTGCAGGGGCGGCACCTCTACGTGCTGGAGTTCAGCGACTACCCTGGAATCCATGAGCCCCGTAAGTGCTGGGCGGTCCCCGGAGCTGGGGGGGCAGCACCCTCCCCTTTCACGTCCAGTGATGGGGAAGCTCCCGAGGGGCCGCCCACCGTGACCTCTCACCTCCTTCTCAACCTGTGACACGCGGGTCCCTGCTTTGCCCTCGGACCCTTCCCTCCTGGGAGCTGCAGCCCTAGGGTCCAGACCCTCCCTCCTTGGGGGGGTTCCGTGTGCCCAAGACCTTCGGGGTAACAGACAAGTCTTCCCCGCCCCCTTCTCGTCCCCTTTCTCTCCCGTTACCCTTATTTTGTCTCTTTCTGTTATTTTATCTTTTCAGGGGCTAGTGGCTCAGGAAACAGGTGGGAACAATGAGCTCTTCTGGTTGGGGAGGAAACTCCGAGGTTTTGGCATCTCTGCGGGGGAGTGGCGGTGTGGCAGGGCTTGCTACCCTAGGGAGAGCTTGAGCTTTTCCATCCGACTCACTTTTGTTAGTTTAAACATTTCTACTCTAAAAGCAATTCGTGTTTGGAGTGAACTCTGAAAATGAGAGAAGGAAAAACCATGACCAGCAGATGCCCTAATGGTTACATCACTGGACTCCCACGGAGTCGACCTGAGTTCAAGTCCTGGACCTGGCAGCCTGAAACTCCCGCCAGGCGTGTGGGTGTGCATGCCCAAAATCCCGGGAGGAGAATGGAGAAGGGATTGCAGCGTGGCCATCCCCCCGGGGGAGGGGGTGATTTCTCGCTTTCTGTGTCTGTCTGGGAGAGCATGTGCCCTATAGCAAAAATCTCTCTCTACAACATAAACTTAAAAATGTAAATAAGATAAAGAAAAACTAGATGAAACCGACCTGATAATCCTGCCACTCCCCGGTAACCATTGCTAGCATATTGATGTATATCTTTCTAGGCTTTTTTTTTTTTTTTTTAATTTAAGACTTTTGCCGTAGAGTGTGTGTGCTTTCCAGAAACAGAGAGGCCAAGTGAGGAACCACCCCCGAAGGAGGATGTCTATCCCTTTCCTCCGTCTTTCTCTCAGGATTTGGGGCACATATTCACATGAGCCTGGGGTGTTCTTCACGCTGCTTGAGCCCTGGAGTTGGCGGTGTGGATCCAGCGCCTTAACCTCCACACCTCCCACTGGCCCTCTCTAAGCATTAAGAACCCCCTTTACACACACATACTCGTTATAGAAATGCAGCTACACTCTAAGCGCTTCTGTGAACTCGTGGTCTGTCACGAAGGCACTTCCGTGTGTAAGCGTAGACCTCCGTCATCGTTTTAGAGGCCGCAGCGTGTCCCACCCCGGGCTCGTACTTAACGGCCATCCCAGCTGTGTCTGCTTCCCCGGTGCGTTACTTGCAGCCGCTGTGCTGTTCAAGTTATGTCAGCGCCTCCTGAAAACAGCCCGCCTCAACTCTCTCTCCCTCTTACATTTTCTGTTGCCACTTTCACACCCCCCAGCCCTAGCCTGGACTCCACCGTAAACTGCCTAAGTTATTGCACTAATTTTTTTTTTCATTTTAATTTTTTACAGAGGGCGTAGGTGCTTGCTGGAGAGAGACATGGAGGGAAAGTGAGAAAGCCCCTCCCACGGGAGCGGTCATGCCCCACTCCCTTCTCTTCCACTTTTCCCTCCTTTTGGGGTGTTGGCTGCATACACGCCCAGCATGTCCTTCCCCCCAGGTCTGGGGCTCTCAGCGTTGCAGCTGGCAATGTAGGATTCGCCACCTTAGCCACCACACCGCCGGCTGGCCCTAGACTCGTCACTGGTCTCCTAACTCCTACCCACCGCCACCCTCTGCACCTTCCATTTGGCACGCAGATGCCGGAATAATTTTCCTAAGTACTGACATGATCTTCTCATTCTCCTGCATTAAAGACCTCACACTCAGGGCCAGCAGGTGGCGTGGTGGGTTACGGGCTGGATTCCCACGTGGTCAACCACTGTTTGAGTCCCGGACCTGGTGACTTGCTTTCTCACTTTCTCTGTCTCTGGTCAAATTAAAAATTAATAGTAACAAATTAAATAAATAAGTAATTCTTTTTAAAAAAAACCCAAAAAAAACCCAAAAAACAAAAATTCCTCACACTTAAAGGATTAGGGCCATGACAGCTTCAGCATATTACACAGGAGAGGCCCACGACAGCCACGTGATGATTACTTCAGAGAAAGCCCTTACTGGTACAAGCAAGTCCTCACGAAGCAGGCGCTTCGCTTTCACTCAGATCCTGTGACCTCGTGGAAGCCTGTGGGCGCTAACAGACCTTGTTTGGTTAGTCTCCCACCCCACGGCCCCTTCCTGGTGCCCCTGTCCTTTCTGGCATTCGAAGCCTTGCTTGGAGTTCTTTCCTGTAACACTGGCTCCCACAGATCCCTCTTTCTCCAAAGGCCTTTAACAGCTGCTCATCTACTCATTCCTTCCCTCCCTTCATTCCCCAAATGTTTATGGCAAAGAGTAAAACAAAGACCTCGTCCTCTGGGCCTGGATTCTAGTGCGGTAGACTGGGTAAATACGGATTACATCAGATGGAAGGAAGTGCTCCCGAGGAGACTCAATTGGGAGAGAGAGGGGTGCCACGGGGGAATCTGGGAGGAATTGGGGGGCGTGAATGCTCAGGAAAGGGTCTCTCACCGAGTGGCTTCCAAACAGGGATCTGAAGGGCCTGGTGAAGCACGTGATGCTGGTATTGGGGAGGACGAGACGGCAGGCAGAGGGAAGAGGAGAAGCCAGGCGTCAGGAGCAGGGTGTGCCGCCACGCGGGAGAAACAGCGACGGGGCCACTGCGGCTCCAGCAGGAGAGATGGTCCGAGCCTTCCAGTAGGGACTGAACAACTAACATGGCAGGAAAGAAGACTAAGACCAATTTAGAATAATTAAGACTGGGACCAGCAGTTAGCGTAATGGCTATGTCGCTGGACTCCCACGTAGTCAACCGCGGTTCGCATCCCGGACCTGGTGACTTAAACTCAAGCCAGGCGCGTGTGTGTGCGTGCCCAAGATCTCGAGAGGAGAATGGAGGAGAAGGGATTGCGGTGTGGCCATCCCCCCTGGGGGGTGATTTCTCGCTTTCTGTCTCTCTGTCTCTGTCTGTCTGGCGAGCGCACGTACCCTATAGCAAAAACCTCTCAAAAAAAAAAAAAGAATAATTAAGACTAATTCTCCCAGATTAATTACATTTTCCATGGGATGAGGGACAACTATTGTGCTATAACCTAGAATCCTTTATGAGAGCAAGTTTCGAGAAAATACTATCCTTACCCTGAAAAGATTTGTCTTGGAACCAGCACTTGGTGTAATAGCTGCATCACTGGACTCCCTGTAGTCGACCATGGTTCGAGTCCCGGACCTGGCAGCTTAAACTCATGCCAGGTATGTGTGCATGTGTGCCAAAAATCCCAAGAGGAGACTGGAGAAGGGATTGCGGTGTGGTCATCCCCTCTGGGGGAATCCTGTCTCTCTGTCTTTCCGGTGAGCACATATGCCCTATGGCAAAAATTTTAAAAAGGAAAAATGAAGATTAGTCTGAGAAGCAGAGTGGTACCATAAGGTACTATAAATCCCTCCTGCTCTTTGGCCTCCGCATTTCATTCACTAGGCCCCTCCGGACAAGTTGCCTAACCTCTTCTGGCCCCAGTACCCTACTCTCACCCTGGGCCTACCAGGCCTAGTTCCTAGGTTTTCTGTGCAGATCAGCAATAATGACGTAAGTGCCAGGTATAGCATGGGGGTTCAATACGACTAGTCATTATTATCCTGGGCATGGCTTTTTGTAGTTTTAATCATTGCAAAAGGTTAGGAAGGGACTCAGATTATTGAAAAAGACCCAATGAAAGCATGAGATTTCCCTTTTATTCTTCACTGGCAAAGAGGGAGAAGGTCCCTTTGCAAGGTTAGGGGTCGCTGTACTTCCAGACTGTCCGCATCTTTTCTCTTCCTGCGATTGCATTTTCCCCTTGCAGTGGAACCGGAAGTCAAGTACGTGGGGAACATGCATGGCAACGAGGTGGTGGGCCGCGAGCTGCTGCTGCAGCTGTCTGAGTTCCTGTGCGAGGAGTTCCGGAACGGGAACCAGCGCATTGCGCGGCTGGTGCAGGGCACGCGCATCCACATCATGCCGTCCATGAACCCAGACGGCTACGAGGTGGCTGCGGCCCAGGTATGAACCCAGGGGAGCTGCCAGGGGAGGCTAAGCCTTTCTCAGAAATAAGCAGAGACCAGTAGGCAACGCACCCTCATGTCCCACTGTAAATGTCCCTCTAAAATGAAAGAAAAAGCGTCGGAGAGGTAAAACCATATATAGGGACCAGCAGTTGGCTTAATGGCTATGTTGCCAGATTCCCATGTAGTCCATGTAGTCAACCTCGGTTCGAGTTCTGGATTGGGTGGCTTAAACTCACACTGTGAGTGTGCGAGCGTGCCCAAGATCCCGAGAGGAGAATGGAGGAGAAGGGATTGTGGTGTGGCCATCCTCCTGGGGGGTGATTTCTCACTTTCTGTCTCTCTCTGTCTTTCTGGCAAGCGCACGGGCCCTATAACAAAAACCTCTCAAAAAATTACACATATATATATAATATAATATAATATAATATAATATAATATAATATAGAAATATAACACAGCACGGGTCCGTCCTGGAGCATGGCGGGAACGGACGTGGGCGCCCTCTACCCCGTCAGCGCCTTTCCAGCTGACCTCGGGTTTCGTCGGGAGGATCAATGTGGCAATGCTGTGGCAACACGTCTAAACTGGAAAATACCAAATGTGACGAGCTGTTGCAAAATAGACTTCGTTTCCTGAACTTTCAGCTTCGAAACCTAAGTACCTTTCTCTCCCACGCCACACTCCTGTTTGCGTTTGTGGGGAGGAGAGCGGCTCTCCCCACCCCTGGAGGTAGAGGGCAGTCGGAGGGCCCTCACGCTGTGCTAGCGCGTGTCTGCACGGGCGTTCCCTCTGCTGGCTTCTGTCTCGTCTCCCAGAGGTTTCATTATATTTGAAGTGGGACAGGTGAGAAAAAATGTCTACGGGCTTTTTACTTCATTTTCTAATATAAATTCAAAATGCCAGTTTGCACAAGCTTAAATGACTTGTTCTGTGGCTGAGCATCAGAATCGTACTGTTAAAATTCAGAGTCCCAGATCTCACCCAGGACCTATTGAAGGTGAAACCACATGTTTATCTGCCTTCCTTTAACAGCGATGTTTAAGCATGTTGAGGAGGGGCTTGGGGCCTGGCATATGAAAGAGTATTTTAGGGGCCGGGAGGTGACATGGTGGCTAAAACACTGGATTCCCACGTGGCTGACTGCGGTTGGAGCCCCAGACCCAGTGGCTTGAAAATCACACCGGGTACATGTCTGTGTGAGCTCAAAATCCCAAGAGGAGAGTGGAGGACAAGGGATTGTGGTGTGGCCGTCCCTCCAAGGGGTGATTTCTCTCTCCCTCTCTCTCTAACTCTTTCTGGTGAGTGCACGTTTTCTATAACAAAATCCTTAAAAAAAAAAAAAAAGTATTTTAAATCTACTTAAGAATAGAGCTGGGGTAGGTGGAGGCAGACCAGGGAATACAGCTAGGATATTGACCGAAACACAGATTTGACTCTTGAAATCTTATGACTTCTACTGAAATGACTCAACAAGTGAAAAAAGTATACTTTGTTCCATCAGAGAGGTGCCCACTAATGTGCTGCAGGACCCGAGTTCCCGAGAGCAGGGACACCGGGGAGACATGGGAGAAGCTCGGGCTGGCAGCTTCCCTGTGCTCAGCTCTCTCCTGGGCTGTGGATCGCAGTGGGGGCAGCCGGCGCCAACGCAGCCCTGCCCAGTCCTCACAGTAGGTAGGGGAGGGACTGAAGAAAGTCCCGCCAGGCCTCTGGGAAGCCGGTCACCTCGGCTCCTGCTGTGTTCTTGTTCAGAGGGAGCCCGTCTTGCACCCCAACTCAAGAGAAGACCCAGCTGGTTCTCAGGCTCCCAGAGCTACGCGCTCTGCCAGAGTAGACCTGTCTGCATGGTTAGTAAGGGGAAGACCTGCACGGTCACCAGACCTTACAGCTGCCTGTATGGCCGACGGAGTAACGCCCGCCTGCACTACGCCGTCCACATCCTAAACGCCAGGATCGCTGAATATAGTATATTCTTAGGCAGGAAGGAATGAAAGTTGCAGGTATTAAGTCGCTAATCAATTAACCTTAAAATATCCTGGATTATTTGGGTGGATCAATAATTTGGAGCACAATGGCCCTTAAATGGGGAAGAGGGAGGCTGAAGGTCAGAGTCAGAGAGGTCTGAAGATGTCGCACTGCTGTCTGGCTGTGAGGACGCAAGAAGGAGCTACAGCGAGGAGTGGGCGTGGCCTCTGGGGGCGGGCAGAGCCAGGAGTCAGATTCCCCTAGGGCCCTCGGAAGGAATACGACCCTGCTGACACTTTGCTTTTAGTTCCATGAGACGCATTTTCATCTTCTGACCCCCGAAATGATAATCAACTTGTGCTATTCCTTTTTTTTTTTTCTTTTTTTTTTTTTTTTTTTAGTTTGCTATAGGGCATGTGCACTCACCAGAGAGAAAAAGAGAGGGAAAGTAACAAATCACACCATCATCCCTTCTCCAGTCACCTCTTGGGATTTGGCGCATCCGCGCGCACATACACACATTCAGCGTGTTTTTCAAGCCACCAGGTCCGGGACGCAAACCACATAGTTGACCTCTTGCAAGTCTCTTGCATTCCCACATGGAATCCTCTTGCATGTGCTGTTTTTCTCAAAGTTTATTTTTTTCTTCCATGACCCAAGGAGACAGAGACTGAGACAGAGACAGAGACAGCACCAGCCGGGCCTCGACAACGCCGTGCATTCCCAGCCCTCACCCAGCCCCAGACAGTGGGCGAACGTGTGTCTGGCATGTACAGGGAGGTCTCTGGACTTAAACTGGGGATCTTTTCATATGGAATTGCCTAGCAAAGCATCCCTATTGGTTTTTTTTTTTTTCCCGAGAGCGATTTTTGCTATAGGATGCAAGTTTAAACCACCAGATCTAGGACTCGAACCACACTTGATTGCATAGGAGTCCAGCGACAAAACCATTATGCCATCTGCTGGTCCTCAGCAACATTTTATTGCTGTACCACTGTCTGGCCCCCTACTTGTGCTGTTTGTTTTTGTTTTTTAGATTAAAAAAATATATATTTATTTATTTAATTCTATTTATTATTATTATTATTATTATTATTATTACTTGAATTTGACCAGTGTGAGAGAGAAATGGAAAGTGAGAAAGCAAGCTGCCAGGCCTGGGACTCGAACTGTGGTCAGCCATGTGGGAATCCAGTGCCTTTATCCACCACACCAGCTGCCAGACCCTGTGTTTTAATTTTTTGCCATAGGGCACATGCACTCACCAGAAAAAGACAGAGACAGAGAGAGAGGGAAGGTGAGAAATCACTCCCCAGAGGGATGGCCATGCTGCAATCCCTTCTCCTTCATTCTCCCCTTGGAATTTTGGGAACACATGTACACACATCTGGAGTGTTTTTCAAGTCTCCAGGTCCGGGACTGGGACCGTGCAGTTAGGCACGTGGGATCTAGCACCTTAATCACCATGCCACCTGCTGGCCCTACTTGTGCTGCCAAGTTTGTGGTAGTTTGTTGTAGCAATAATAGGAAACCTCCTGTTAGGGAAGTCCCTCCTGCGGTGTGTGATAAAGCCCACGTTTGTCTATACTGCCAGGAAAGGGCCACAGTGACGCGAAAGAGCAAGCAGTGGGAACACCCCGGAGGCGTAAAGGAAATCATGATGTCAGAGAAATGTACGGCAGACTGGAAAGCCAGATAAAGTCTTCCATCGGGTCTGAAGTGATGTAGGAAACATAAGAGAACTTGGAAAGAGAGGGTGGCGGTGTGTCTGTGCGCTTCTGGCTGCCTGGCTTCCTTCCATTCACCCCACTTCCAGGGACAGCTGAGAGTCTGGGCTCCACACTCGCGGTCCATGGGCTCCAGAGACACCACTTCCCTTCCGTACCACGCAAAGCAGGAGGTGGCATTTCAGTTTCGAATGAACCCTTTAACATCGCTTACCCTAGCACTTTCTACAGTCAATTATTATGTATGTACCTCCCAGAGTGTACTCTGAAGGCCAGAGTAATGTCTCGTTATCCCTTCCCCATCTGTGAGAGAGATCTCAGTAACTGTGGGTTGACTGACTGAGTGAATGCGTGAGCTCGTGAGTGATGACATCTGAAGTGTGAGCAGAGAAATAAAGGGAGCCGGATAGCTGATACTGCTCAGAAGAAAGACAAATAAGGGTCCGATTTTTAAAATTCATTTATTTATTTAGTTTTAATTTGACCAGAAAGGGACAGAGCCAGAGAGAGGGGGGAAAGTGAGAAAGTAAGCCACCAGGTCCGGGACTCAAACTGCAGTCGACCCCATGGGAGTCCAGCACCCTTAGCCACCACGCCACCTGTTGGCCCCAGGATCCTAATTTTTTAAAAGTGGAGAGAGAGGAGCCAGCAGGTGGTGTGGTGGTTAGGGCACTGAACTCCCACATGGCCAGCTGCAGTTTGAGTCCCGGCGCTGATGGCTTGCTTTCTCACTTTCTCTCTGTCTCTCTCTGGTGAGCACACGTGCCCTTTGCAAATTTAAATAATAGCAATAGTAATAAATAAAATTAAATAAATTTTTTTTTTAAATGGTGGAGTAGGTTTCCCTGGTGTAACCCCTTCGGAAAATTGGTTACCAGTTTCTCAAACAGTCAGACTTAGGGGGCCATGTCCACAATGCAGCAGTAATGTGTTGCTCACGAAAAGAGTCGGGGTTAAGGCACTTGATTCCACATGGCCAACTATATAGTTCAAGTCCCTGACCCAGAGGTTTGAAAAACAAGCTGGGTGTGTGTGCATGCCTAAAATCCCAAGAGGAGTCTGGGGGAGAAAGGATCTGGTGTGGCCATCTACCCTGGGGGATGGTTTCTCACTTTTTCTCCCTCTCTCTCTGGTGAGCATACAAATCCCATAGCAAAAACTAAAATAATAATAATTAATTAACTAATTAAAAGAAAAGAAAGAGCAGATCCCGCACGGCCACATGGTACTGATCTGCTTGGAACATGCTAGGCACGTGTGTGAGTGCCTCAGTTCTGACGGGCTGGAGCCTGGAGACCTGCACGCAGGGATCTCAGGGTGACCAGACCCTGCGAAGGATGCTCCTCTCTCTCTCCCTCTCTCTGTCTCCCTCTCTCTTTCACACATGTGTGAGCTCATGTCTTTTCATAAATAGAGAAAAAATGCTTTTAATTTAGAAAGTCAAACATGGGCTTCAGGTGGTGGTGCCGTGGCCACACCGCTGGGCTCACATAGGAGAGGTCCTGGGTTGGCGTCCAGGACCTTCTCTCTGTCTTTCCCTCTCCCTCTCTCTGAAGGAAAAAGGAAAGTCCTCCACAGACTTACCTTGTGGCTTCAGTTCCGTTGGTAGGCGTCTACCCACGGGACGTGGAACACGCATCCACACAGAGCTGTGTGATCACCCGACACTGCCGTGCGTGTTCCAGACACGGGAACAACCCACACGCCTATGCACTCGGTTGAAGAGCATGCCCCCCTCCACGCATTTGTGTTCTTCTGGAACTCGTGGTGCGCCCTTATTTGGAAATCCGGTCTTTGCAAATGAAATTAAGTTAAGCAGAGGTGATACCAGGTTGGGGTGGACCCTAAGGCCAATGTGACCAGTGTCCTAAGAAGAAGGAAGAAATTCATAGCTAGAGATACAGACACGAGGGGCCAGCAGTTGGTGTAATGGCTATGTTGCTGGACTCCCAGCGGTAGTCGACCGTGGTTCGAGTCCCAGACCCAGTAGCCTAAACTCACGCCGGGCGGATGTGCGTGTGTGCCCAAGAGCCCGAGAGGAGAATGGAGGAGAAGGGATTGCGGCATGGCCATCTCCCCCGGGGGGTGATTTCTCGCTTTCTGTTTCTCTGTTTCTCTCTGTCTTTCTGGCGAGTGCATGCGCCCTATAGTAAAAAACATTCAAGGGGCTGGCAAGTGGCATGGTGGTTGAGGGCGCTGGACTCCCACATGGCCAACTATAGTTCAAGTCTCAGACCTGGTGGCTTGCTTTCTCACTTCCTCATTCTCTGTCTCTCTCTGATCAAACTGGAAAATAACAATGATAATAATAATAAAGCTAAATAAAATAATTCTTTAAAAAAAAATTCCAAAAAAAAAAGAGACAAGACACGAGAGAAGGCCTTGTAGAGGTGGAAGTGGGAATCTGAGTACCACCTACAAGCCCAGGACTGCCGCGAATTGCTTCTAACCCACAGAGGCTAGCAGAGACAGAGGGGACCGTCAGAGAGCATGACCCTGCCATGCCATTATTTCAGACTTCCGGACTCCAGAGGGGTGAGAGAATGCATTTCTGTAGTTTTAAGCTCCTGGTTCATGATAATTTGTTACAGCAGCCCTAGGAAACTGATGTAAGCCACCAAACGGTGACTGAGATAATATGATAGATCTGTATAATTCAGCAATGAAAAGAAATAAAGTGGGGACAGCAGGTGGCATGGTGGTTAAGGCGTTGGACTCCCACCTGGCTGACTGCAGTTCAAGGCTGGATCTGGTGGCTTGCCTTCTCACTTTCCCTATCCCTGTCTCTCTCTAGTGACTATAACAAATTTAATAATAACAATAATTTAAAAAAACTGTTAAAAAAAGAAAGAAAGTACTGATACATGCTACAACACGGATGACCCTCAAAACCATTATGCCCACTGGGGAGGAAAAAAAACACAGAAGAACATCTAATGAATGACCCACTCGTGTGACTTGTGGGTCATGTCACATAAGGGGTCAAATCGACAGAGACAGAAAGAGCTTACCTACAGCGTAGCTCAGGTGAAAACGGGGAGCGACTGTCAACGGGAATGTGGTTTCTTTTTAGGGTGATGGAAACATTCTCAAATTGGATTGCGATGACAGCTGTATAGCCCTGCAAACACTGACATCCACTGTGCTTTTCTTTCTTTCTCTTTCTTCTTTCTCTTTCTTTCTTTCTTTCTTTTTCTTTCTTTCTCTCTTTCTCTCTTTCTTTCTTTCTTTCTTTCCTTCCTTCCTTCCTTCTTTCTTTTTCTTTTTTGTCTCCTTCCTACACATAGCCAACTGAAATTTGAGTCCTGGATGCGGCAGCTTGAAAAATCACACCAGGATTGTGTGTGTGCATACCCAAAGTCACCGGAGAAGGGATTCGGTGTAGCTGTACCTGCTAGGGGATGACTTCTCACTTTCCCTCTCCCTGTCTCTCTCTAGTGACTATAACAAATTTAATAATAACAATAATTTAAAAAAACTGTTAAAAAAAGAAAGAAAGTACTGATACATGCTACAACACGGATGACCCTCAAAACCATTATGCCCACTGGGGAGGAAAAAAAACACAGAAGAACATCTAATGAATGACCCACTCGTGTGACTTGTGGGTCATGTCACATAAGGGGTCAAATCGACAGAGACAGAAAGAGCTTACCTACAGCGTAGCTCAGGTGAAAACGGGGAGCGACTGTCAACGGGAATGTGGTTTCTTTTTAGGGTGATGGAAACATTCTCAAATTGGATTGCGATGACAGCTGTATAGCCCTGCAAACACTGACATCCACTGTGCTTTTCTTTCTTTCTCTTTCTTCTTTCTTTCTCTTTCTTTCTTTCTCTCTTTCTCTCTTTCTCTCTTTCTTTCTTTCTTTCCTTCCTTCCTTCCTTCTTTCTTTTTCTTTTTTGTCTCCTTCCTTCCTTCCTTCCTTCCTTCCTTTTCCCTGGAGCACATGTGCTTGCCAGAGAGAGGGGGAAAGGAGAAAGCACTCCCCCATGGAGAACGTCCCACCGCAGTCCTCTCTCCTCCGTCTCTCCCAGTCTCTGGGATCTGGGACCTGCACACACATGCCAGCAAGTTTCCCAAGCCACCGGGGCTGAGACTCAAACCACGTGTTGACTGCCTTAACCACGAGGCCACAAAACCAGCCCGATTGTACACTTTCACAGACATTTCTTTTTAATTTTAAAGTTTATTTCTTCCATGAGAGAGAGAGAGAAAGAGAGACAGGCGCCCTCACCAAGGTCCTCGCACTGTGACCCGCCTCCAGTGTCGCCAGCCCAGATCACGGGCATGTGTGCAGGGGCACATGCACCCAGTACGGACAGGATGGCCTGGGAGCTAGCCAGGACCTCCCCACTGGGTCCAGTTGTAGTACTGTTTCACCTCTAGCCCCCGAAGTGTACACTGAAAATGGGCGACTAGCTGGGTACGGTGGTAGGGCCCTGTAATCTCAGCTACTTGGGAGATGGATAGGAAGATTGTGGGTTTGAGACCCACCTTGGCAACATAGCGAGACTCTGTCTCTTATCTAAAAAAACCCAACAAAATTAATTGTGGTATGGTCTACAGGGAAACTTGTACCATGCCACTGCTATTCTTGTTAGAGTTTCTCCTGGGGTCTCTATCTCCACCATGTGGTCTACAGGGAAACTTGTACCATGCCACTGGGACTTGGGACAAGCTAAAGAAGATGCTACATACTGATAGATTAAGAATCTAAAAGGAATTACACAATGGACCAGCCAGTGGCATGGTGGTTAAGGTGGCTGGATCCCACATGGCTGCACAATTTGAGTCCCAGATCCAGCAGCTTGAAAACCCCTCTAGACACGTATGGCCAAAATCCCAACAGGAGGGAGAAATAGCAGAGAAGGGATTGCACCATAACCGGCCCCTGGGGGGTGCTTTCTCGCTTCTCTCTCCCTCACCTCTCTTTGGTGAGCATGTGCACCCTCTGGCAAATTATTCTAAAACAGAAAAACAGAACTATGTGACGGTCTTTGGATTCAGTCTGAAATCTTTATTTGTCATCTGGTCGTTTTCTGTCTAGGGCCCGGACACGTCTGGGTATCTGGTCGGCAGGAACAACGCGAATGGAGTGGACCTAAACCGGAACTTCCCTGACCTCAACACCTACATCCACTACAACGAGAAGTATGGAGGCCCCAACCACCACTTGCCTCTTCCGAACAACTGGAAAAGTCAGGTAGGAGAGGAGATTTGCCCGCAGAAGCAGGTCAACCGGCATCTGGAATTCTGGCAGAAATGTCGCTAAGTGGTCCTCACGTCAAAGCAAGCAAGAATGAAGTACAGCTCAGCCCGTGCGGGTCCACCTAGAGCCAGAGTAACTGCCTTAGGCCCTCGTGTTGGGCCCGGAGCATTTGATGTTGGAGCTGGCGGTGGGGAGGGCCGGTGGGGAGGGGGTGAGCGCGGCGTGTCCAGGGCCTGGGACTTCATGATTTTACCAAGTTCTTTCACAGGCCGGGTCATCGTTAGAGTGCGGGAACGCTCGGGCAGCGGTAGCCATCTCTGTAGATGTTATACCCAGATAAAGTCATTTAGGGGCCTGCAGGTGGCATGCTGATTAAGATGCTGAACTCCCATGTGGCGTGGCTGACCATGGTTCAAGGGTTGGAGCTGGTAGCTTGCTTTCTCACTCACCCTCCCCCCCCACCCGCCACACACACACACACACACACACACACACACACACACACACACACACTATTTTTTTTTCTTTTTTTTTTTTTGGAGAGGTTTTTGTTATAGGGCACGTGTACTCATCAGAAAGACAGAGAGAAAAAAAAAAAAGAAAGAAAGACAGAGAGAGACAGAGAGATAGAAAGCAAGAAATCACCCCCGGGGGGATGGCCATGCCGCAATCCCTTCTCCTCCATTTTCCTCTGGGGATCTTGGGCACGCACACGCACCCGGTGTGAGTTTAAACCACCAGGTCTAGGACTTGAACCGTGGTCGGCTACATGGGAGTCCACAATGTAGCCATTATGCCTCTGCTGGTTTTTTTCTTTTTTGAGAGATTTTTGCTATAGGGCACGTGTGCTTGCCAGAGACACCGAGAGACAGAAAACGAGAAATCATCCCCCCTGCGGGGGAATGGCCACGCTACAATCCCTTCTCCTTCATTCTCCTCTTGGGATTTTGGGCATGCATGCACTGGCATGAGTTTTAAACCGCCGGTTCCGGGACTCAAACTGCAGTCAACTCCAACTGCGTGGGAGTTCAGCGACATAACCATTATGCCATTTGCTGCTCCCATCTCTCTCCTTTGTTGATGAGCACATGTATCCTATAACAAATAAAATAATAGTATTAACCATAAATAAAATTAAATAAATAATTATTTAAAAGTAATAAGTCATGCAGCTAACAATGCATTAAAACTCGACCTTCCAATTTCTATTCTAACATTCTTTCTAGTAACTAGACTGTGCAAAGCGACCTCTAGAGTCTACACAGAAGTCTCTTTTATAGGGCCAGCTAGTGGCGAGGTGATTAAGGTGGCTGAAAACTCTGTGATCGACTACAATGGTTCGAATCCCGGATACTCAGTGGCTTGACATGGGTGCATATGTATGCACCCCCAAAACCCTGAAAGGAGAAACGGAGAAGGGATTGCAGTGTGGCCACCCCCACGGAGGGGTGCTTTCCCACCCCACCCCAGCCCCAGCTCTCTGGCAAGCACGCACATGCTCTGGCAATGAAAAAGAAACAGAAGTGCCTTGAACATGCGATGAGCTTGCAGCTGTCTCGAGAAGGAGGTTCAAGGAGGCTCGCCCTGATGGTTTTTCCTGCCCTTCTATGTGACACTTGACAGCTGTGCTTCCGCCCGCTCATTTCTCACTCTCAATCCGAGATAGCATTCCGGTCCCCAGGCCTCACTCTCTGGGAGGTGTGAATGCAAACCCTTCCTGTGATGGCCTCAGCCTGCTGGTGGGCCTGCCCCGGCAATGACTCCTGCCGTCCTGGCGTTTTACACCGTGTGGGGTAGTTCTTTACTTCCTCTGCTTCTAATTCTCGTTCTTCTTTAAAATAAATTGCCAGAGGGCACATGGACTTGTCAGAGAGAGGAGGAGAGGGAGAACGCACCCTCGAGGGGGCATGGTCACGCTGCTCTTTCTCCTCCACTCCTCCCTCCTGTAGGACTTCGGGCACTTACACTCACGTACCCGGGGAGTTTTTCAAGTGGCCAGGACTGGGATTCAAACCATGGTCAGCCCTCTGGCTCCCTGCAAGTCCACTGTGCCAGCCCATGGGAGAGTTCTAAACGTTCCACTGTGAATATCTAAACTTAGAGAAAAGTAAAGCAGGCGTGAGCTTTTATATGGAAGTTCCTCAGGTGGAATAGTCTCATTGTGTTCCCCTTGAAAATCAAGCAAACGCCATGCCGACGTGTTAGACTTCTTTCTCTCTCTGTTTTTATTTGTTCGTTTGTTTTAAAGTGTTTGTTGTAGGGTGTGTGCGCTCGCCAGAGAGAGGCAGTGAGAGGGAAAGTGAGAAATCACCCCCCCGGGAGGATGGCCACACCACAATCCCTTCTCCTCCATTCTCCTGTCGGGTTTTGGGTATGCACGCACACATGCCCAGCGTGATTTTCAAGCGGCCAGGTCTAGGACTCAAATCATGGTTGACCCTGTGGCAGTCCAGTGCCTTAACCGCCGCCACACCTGCTGGCCCCACTCTGGTTTTTTTATTGACTTTTTAAAAGTTTATTTCACTAATGATAGAGAATGTGTGTGCATGAGAGAGAGAGAGGAGGAGCGCTCTCAGCGGGGCCTTGTCACGCTGTCAGCCCTTTCACTAGCCCTCCATCTCCCCAAGGTCCGGAGCACACCTGCCGACCCCGTGCGTTTTCCAAACCCACAGCAGGCACGTGGCTTCCAGCACTGCAGTTCAGTTTGGTACTAACGGCGCCACCTCGGCTGGCCCTTCAGATGATTTTTTTCCAAAATAATTATTTATTTTATTCAATTTATTATTTTTTTTTTCAATTTGCTGCAGGGTCTGTGCACTCACCAAAGAGAGACAGAAAAAAAAACAGAGCGAGAAAGAAGGAAAGAGAATGCAAGCCGCCAGGTCCAGGACTTGAACCACAGTCAGCCTTGTGGGAGCCCAGTGCCCCAACCACCATGTCACCTGCTGGCTTCCCTTTAAATGGCTTTTGACAGGATCCCACCATGTTGCGGTCCACCTGCCCAGCCTCCCAGTTGGCTGGAACTGCAGCCTACTTAGGCTGGGCTGGGAATCAAACCCAAGCCTCCTGTGTGGGCTCAGCCTCCAAGTAACAGCATCTTAGCATCCAGAGCCACTGTGGCTGTGCCTGACCTGTTGGATTTCTGATGGCAGGTAACTCTTGGCTCGGGCAAAAAATAAAATCAAAAGTAACTTTGTGGTACTATATCAAGCCAGAAGAATGCTTTATTAAACTGGTTTTTCTAAGTAAAATCGGGTAATGGAGTCGATAGTAATTAGGCTCCCATTGGGTCATCTGTTTAAAACTTAGAAGAAAAAGACAATGCAGGAGCTGGCAGGTGGCGTGGTGGTTAAAAATACCAAATTCCCAGGGGACCAGCAGTTAGCGTAATGGCTATGTCGCTGGACTCCCATGTACTCGACTGTGGTTCGCATCCTGGACCCAGTGGCTTAAACTCATGCCGGGCGCGTGTGCGTGCATGCCCAAGATCCCGAGAGGAGAATGGAGGAGAAGGGATTGCAGTGTGGCCATCACCCCTGGGGGGTGGTTTCTCGCTTTCTATCTCTCTGTCTCTCTCTGTCTGTCTGGGGAGCGCACACTCCCTATAGCAAAAACCTCTCCAAAAAAAAAAAAAATTAAATATGCACACACACACACACCCCCACACACACAATATCAATTACATTTGAAAACATTAAAAAATAAAAAGGTCTCTGTCTGGTCAAATTTAAAAATAATAATAACAAATGGAATAAAAATAAATAAATAATTCTAAAAAAAAAAACAAAGAAGACAATACGAAGTTCCTGCTGCTCCTCACTAAACGGCCTGGAGGACGAGGAGCAGAGAGGCTGACTCTGTTTGAGGGTGGCTGAGTACATGAGGAGAGGCAGCTTTGAAGGCCCTCGTCACAGAGCAGAACCGGCACCCGTGCTGCTGCACCCACTCTGATTGGGTGACGCCCAGCCTTCTTCATCCAGTCTACTTGGGATGGGAAAGAGGGGTTCAAAGCTGACTCTTGGTCCAGGAGGAGCCGTTAACACATGAACACCACATAATCTTTTTAAAAAGAATTGTTTATTTGGGACCAGCAGACGGAGTAATGGCTATGTCACTGGACTCCCACATAGTCAACCGCGGTTTGAGTCCCAGACCCGGTGGCTTAAACTCATGCCGGGCGCATGTGCGTGCGTGCCCAAGATCCTGAGAGGAGAATGGAGGAGAAGGGATTGCAGCGTGACCATCTCCCCTGGGGGGTGATTTCGTGCTTTCCGTCTCTCTGTCTCTCTGTCTCTCTCTGTCTTTCTGGTGAGTGCATGTGCCCTATAGCAAAAACTTCTCCCTCCCCAAAAAATAAATAAATAAAAAGAACTGTTTATTTTATTTATTATGATGATGATTTTAATTTGCTGTAGGGCATATACACTCACCAGAGAGAGAGAGAGAGTGAGAAAGCAAGCCTTCAGGTCTGGGACTCGAGCTGTGATCGGCCATGCGGGAGTCCAGTGCCTTAACCACCACACCACCTGCCAGCCTTCATACTATATAATCCTTAACTAGGTCCATCCTGAGAGGAGCAAAAATGGTGATGATTGCAAATTATTTGCTTATACTGCAAGTCCAAGTGGATTCGAGGCTTTCTCTTTAAAAAATTATTTCATCACTGGGACCACCAGTTGGTGTAATGGCTATGTCGCTGGACTCCCACATAATCAACTATGGTTCTAGTCCTAGACCCGGTGGCTTAAAGTCACACCGGGCGCGTGTGCATGCGTGCCCAAGATCCCGAGAGGAGAATGGAGGAGAAGGGATTGTGGCATGGCCATCCCCCCAGGGGATGGTTTCTCGCTTTCTATCTTTCTGTCTCTCTGGTGAGCGCATGCATCCTATATCAGAAACCTCTCCAAAAATAAAAAATAAAAATATTTAATCACTGTACAACTTTACAGCATACAAAATAATTTTTTTCTGCCTGGAATACACTGCATATTGGTGTAAAGATATTACCATACACATTATTATCAACAGACAATTTTCCACTTTTGTGTCCATTGAATGTTTTGCTCTTCTCCCCCCGGCTCCTCCCCCTGCCCACTGCCCACCCTCCTCCTGCACTGTCTTCAGGCTGCCGTTACTATTATTTTCTTCAATTTCAAGAAAAGCAGTTGTAGCTTTAATGAGTCAAAATGTTAAAAGTTAAGAAAATTTTGTTTGAGACGTAAAGCCAGGAAAAAGGTTAGGATTCTGTCCACACAGTAGGTAGGTACTAAAAATCCAAGAAACAAATATGGACAGAGCTAAAACCTAGTAACAAGTGCACTGTAGTTCTCTTCTGAGACTTTTTTTTCTTTCTCTGTTCCCCCTTTTCCCAAAGAGCAGCTTTAAAAAATTAAAAAAATTTTTTTTTATTGTCAGTGGGTACATGAGCTTGTGTGCGCGCACGCGCGAGAGAGAGCGAGCGAGCGAGCGAGCGCAATCCATAATCGGGTATGGTCACACCACAATCCTTTTTGCTCCATTTCTCCTTCTTGTCAGTGTTTTGGGCATGTGCGCACACACACACACACACCTGACATGTTTTTCAAACTGCAAGACCCAGGATTCAAACCCCCATCACCACGTGGGATCCAGCTTTCCATGCATAGCACTCAACCACTGCACTATGGGGCTGGCCCTGGAGGCTTTTCTTTTTTCTTCCTTTCTTTCTTTCTTTCTTTCTTTCTTTCTTTCTTTCTTTCTTTCTTTCTTTCTTTCTTTCTTTCTTTCTTTCTTTCTTTTT